CACTGATTGATGAATTGGAAGAAAGGATATGTGTAACCCTCTCTATTTTTCCTTGAATGAACTTAACTGTGGAGAATCCCCCTTAGATTCAAATAATTTTCTTGCTAATTGGATCCCGCTTCAGTTCTGTGATTGTTTGTTATTTTGATATATACATTGAAGAAAGAGCAGCTAAATAATGATTTGATGGGGATGCTCCTTGGTCCTATTAACCCTCTATTAATAAACTCAATTAATCAATACTAATTATTTTCCTAGATATGACTGATCTAGTGTGACTTCATATAGTTTGATGTAATTTTTATGTTACATAAATAGGTATAGACAACATGAGTGTATTATGAGTTATTTTGTTATAGAGAACTCCAGAGAATAACTTATGAAGCTCACCTAAATCACTCATGCCTGGATCTGGTGTTGTTAATCACTGTATTTCATTTATAAACACAAAATTTTGAGTCATTTAGTATTGATAAATGATTGCTGATGAGGCTTGTTTTGAGCTGGTGGTAGGATGAGCCAGTCAGCGGCAGGACACCCGCACGTGGCACTTGTTACTTTCCAGCAATATAAACAACTTAGCAGCTGATGTATTCATTTATGCCTAATACTGTTGATGTAAAGTTTTACCTCTCTTATTACCTTTAATGCAGTTTGCAAGGTGCCAAGGGCTATAGTCTTGCTTAACTCTTTCCTAAGAGCACACCACTGTGTTAAGCATGTTTCTTTCACTGACTTAATGGCTGATGATAATAAATATACAGTACAATCAGAAAACTTAGATTGATTTTGAGGAGACAAATTTTGATCATGTTTCATCAATACTGTCTCACCAATACAGTACTCTTGTTTTTTGCATGTACAGTAGGTATTAATTATCCATATGCCATAAGTGAGTATTTCTTCTTTATTCATTTTGTACAACCATGATGTTTGAGATGTCATTCTTAGGTAAATACAGTATTACAGCCATACACACATGTTGCTACAGTAACAATGACAAAAAAAAAAATTCCATGGGAAAAATCAAAGCATTTTGAAAAAAAAAAATGAACTGAGTCACACAAAGATGCTTGAGAGGAACACAGTAAATGAACAACGCTGATCCATATGTAGGATTCGTCCCAGTGTCATGAGGTTTCAGAACCCAGCACTTGTGAAAGCTTCATCTCATTTTTACTCCATTTGGACATAAGCTTAAGGCAGCAATGTCACTTTTTACATTCATACTGAAACAAAAAACTAAGAGAAAGACATATTGCATATGTTCACAGCATCTCTCAGAAATAATATTTTCTCATATACTGTACTGTATATTATTACTTATTACTTTTCTTGTCTTTCACCCCTCATGTTATTTTTTCTTTTCATACAGAAATTTCTCAAAGTATTTTTATTAAGGCTCCCTTTTTTTGCTACAAGTACTATAGTTCTTAATTACTTCTTATCGACAATCAATTAATTTGAACATAGAACTGTAAAGCATAGAATTACAGTAGAATCCCGGTTATCCGTAGTCCGGGTAACCAGCTGATTCAACCAACCGGCATCAAAATAAAATACAGTAATATTAACAGTAATAAAAATTTCTCCAAAATCATCTAGAATCATAATTTGGAATACTGTGCACAATGGGGATAAGCTGCCATATTTATTGGACAGTTCCTTAACACTTATTTTTCTTCATATAAACGATGTGGTTCAGAGTTAAAAAAATTAGTGAGCACAAGGTTAGTCTGATTTGAAAATATTTCAAATTGCATACACCAAAAATTAAGTAAAATTGCACTGATAAACAATAAAATTGATACATAGCATATAATAAAATACAATAGCACATATTTTATGTAAAAAAAATAGCTCCTTCCACACTCAAATCATCCTCTGGACGACACAACCCAGTTCAGCCAGGCAGTCACCCAGCTGACTCACAGATGTGTGGCTGCTGCCGTGCTGTGTATATGCCATGACGTCACATCAAGGGAGGGAGCACGGCAATGCAGTTACAGCCCATCGCCTCCACACATGTTCTCTTCCTGCACATACTCACCCATGCGCTTCATTTTTCTTATTTTATAGCTTTATATTTATATTATTAGGGAACGCTCATTAAAATGCACGGATTCACAGAAAAGCAGACTTCTGGGACACAAATTTGTAAAGTCAGCCTGTAGCACCGTGCTTTGTATGATTTATTGGGGATCCTAAGAAGTTCAACTAACCAGAAAATCTCTTTGTCCGGCACCTCTCAATTCCTATAGGTGCCAGATAACCAGGATTCTGCTGTATTAGTTGACCAGAGCATCCATGGAAGATTATGTGTGGGGTGTCCTGCTTTGAATCCCCTGTAATGTTATATACTGTATAATAAAGATAACATTGCCGCACATATGAATACAGTACCTTAAAACAGGTATACTGTACTGTACGTATAGCAGCTTATGGATGTGAATTAATTATACAGTACTTGTTTTACTAGGTTCATAGAAACATAATACAT